CCTTTTTAAAGAAAAAGGTCCTAATTCTGGGAACCCAGACTTCTGTACAGGTTCACAGGGGGCCAATAAACAGCTCAAGGAATAATAAAGGTTTGGGCAAAAAATGATCTGTCTGCTATGACCCAAATAGGTCCTGGTGGTCATCCTCTGGCTCCGCACAACTAATCCTCACAAAGTAAAATCTTAGTATTGAAAAACTTCCTGGCTAGAAAACCTTTATTAAGAGTGCAAGTAAACCAGAGGATTCTGGGGTCATTCCTACGTTGCAGAGGAAGGACCGAAGGACCTATCACCTTCTGGCCTCAGGTTGACACTGGTGAATACAAGTCCTGGGACGTCCAGGACGTGCTCTTCTGTCTTCTGCGTTCCCCTCAGGGGAGAGTTCCCACTTCTTATTTGGTGTTTTTAACACACTCAGACCATTAATCTTGTCACCTTCTGTCCCATGCCGGGTGTAACTAGTATGTCAGAATACACGAATCACAGAAGCACCACCACAGCTGTAGTTCATGCTTCTCACTATCTTGAAAAGAAATCAAAAACAAATTTAAAAAATTCTACCTTTTCATTAAGAGGTACAAAAATATAGTTAGACACAGGGATAAGTTTTAGCATTCAACAGTACAGTAGGGAAATTATAGTCAATGATCACTTATTGTACATTTTAAAATAGTTAGAAGTTAAAATTTGTAATGTTCCCAACACTAGGAAAAAATAAATGTTTGAAGTTATGGATGATATCCCAATGACCCTGATTTGATCTTTACAGAATGTATGTAGGTATCAAAATATCACATGTATCCCCCAAATATATACAACTATGATATATTCAATAAATGAAATAAACAAAGGCCACAAAAAAATCCCCCCAATTTCACCTTTTGCAGCTTAATGTAGAAGAGCTCAGTTTCTAATTATTTGTTTTGGATTTTAAATATTTAATAGAGTCTAGCTTCAATCATCTCATTAGAAACTCCAATGATAGTTGAGATGCTTATCTAGCCTATGTTCTGTTGACCCACGAGCAATGTACCAAAAGTGCTGAAATGAGACAGAGTATGTGTGTGGGTGGAAACTCCAGTTGTGTGACAGCATGTGAAACCCCTAGACACATTTTTAAAGTCTCATCATTTTTGTATTTCAATAGATTTAGGGGATACAGGTGGTTTTTATTACATGGATAAGTTGCATAGTGGCGAAGTCAGGGCTTTTAGGGTACCCGTCACCCAAATAGCGTACCTTGTACTCAATAAGTAATTTTTTATTCCTCACCTCTCTCCCAAGCTCCTCCCTTCTGAATCTCTAGGTTTTAACACCAGTCTAAAAGGAATGGTGTGTACTTAGGGTACCTGAGAACACACTTTCAGAAATAAGGGGAAGGAAACTGTAGTCAGACAATGGCAAATGAATGTAGGATAAAAAGGAAATCTCTGTTTATTTCAGTGATACGTCAGGTTGAAAAAAAAATTCAAGTCTCTCTTTTTTCCTGTGGCAAGATGCTCAATTCAACATTTACTATCGAAGTATGTTCGAGAAATATCACTTCTTCTAGAATCCAAATGTTCAGAATTTCATGTCCAGATAAGTTTGGGAAGCGCAGTCACACAAAGCCAATCACATTTCTGCACTGCTGGAATTCCCCAGACTTTATTAAGCTAATAGATCTTGTGAATTCCTCAGTGGGGAAAATTAGCTCATACATACTCTCCTTTTTCTACAGGGTGATTTTTAGGGCCAGAAAAGTCACTTTGAAAAAATGTGGGCTAGCTTATTGGAGAGCCACTTATTAAGGCTGACTCACCCAGTCAGATTACAGGATTAAGATAGTTAACTGAGCAGCCACGTCCTCCCACTGGAATCATTGGCGAATCGATAGCAGCAACACTCTAGAAGTCATGGCTCAGTCTAGAAGTGATTTTGGTCTAAATTAAATGAGTTTCAAAAACTTATTCAGGAGAAATTCCACTTAAATATGAGATCCCAGTTTTGTGTTCATAACAACTTCTTAGAAAATCAAGCCTTTAAACGGAAATGTACACAATTGGTGTGAAGAACTTACTATTTCCTCTTTGGGAGATTTAGGCGATACAGAGGATGATGAAAGATGTTTCTAGATATAATAATTGTTATAGATAATAGATGTTTCTAGATATAATAATTGTTATAGATAATAGATGTTTCTAGGTGATATTAGAAAAGGAGAATTAGCTTGATGTTAGGTAGCAGGATTTAGGAATGATCTCTTGACATAGAAGTCAGTCCCTCTGCTTAGACGCCCCTCACATTCCCAGGGCATGCACCTTCATGGCTGGGAAGTAGGATTTCATTTTTTATTTTGTCTTCCTCCTCTTGCCTTCTTTCTTCCCTTCTTCTTCTTTTTTTTTTTAGATTCTCCAAGTGGGTGTCCACTGGCATGACCATAGCTCTCTGTAACCTCAAACTGCTAGGCTAAGCCCCTGCTTCCTGCTTCCAAGTAGCTGAGACTACAAGCATGCACTAATATGCCTGGCTAATCTCTTTCCTTTTTGAGTGATAGAATCATGCTCTGTTGCCCAGGCTTATCTCAAACTCCTGGCCCAAAGAGATCATCTACCTCCTTGGCTTCTGAGAGTGCTCAGATCACAGGCGTGAGCAACCACACGTAGTGAAGATGTGGAATGTCCAAACTCCCTTTGGGGCTCGACTTTCCCTACAGGTGCCGTCTACCAGGCCCAAACTTAGCTTTACACCCCAAAGAAGCAGAACTTGATGGTGTAAAAAGACTTCATCTCTCTGTGAAGTGGAAGTTCATCTTAAAAGTCCGCTATTTGAGAAATTTTAATCCAAAGGCAATGATAATTAAGCAGTCAGAAAATCAGGCCAATGTGCTCTTTGAAACAATACAGGAGGGAGAATTTCATGGGCGTCTTCTTCCCCTATCTGCTAGGCTAGGATTTAGAGAGGCATAAACACTGCAGAGTTTGGAGAAAGTGTGATAATCCAAGTTAAGGGTGCCTGTGGAGGCTGGGGAGTGCTCTCCCTGGGCCCTTTAGCAGCAAGTCTCGAGAAACACAGTGTTCCTCATCAGAAGTTTTAAAGGCCTTGGGTATATAATCAGAGATTCGTTGGAGGAAAAGCCAGGAAAATCTCCTACATCTTCAACTTCTCTAATTTCTTCTCATCATAGTTTTCTACTTTTTTCCCTCACAGGTCATAAAACTTAATGTAAAAACAAGATGGATTATAGAAAAGCATGAGCCAGGTATGTAGCTAATTCCTATAATTTAAGACCTTTAGAATTCCTTGAAATATACCTTTCACTTTCCTATGTGAAAAATTAAGGTCATATAAGAACTAGGCTTTACATACAGTTTTTAATTAAGCTTGCAACCATTTCTGGTCATGATGTCTGAATAATGGCATTCTTAAAACGACTTCAGCTTTGTTTTATGTTTTTCCAGATGAAAAAAATGATTGCAAGCACCACATGTTCAAGTTTTTAGTACTGAAAATAATTATAGTGAATGTTATAATGATTAGAATTCTATTTAATATCTTTTAAAAAATTGGGAGAACACTTTAATATATTTGTTTATTGTCATTGATCTTTCTACGTACAAGAACTCAAAAGGCTATTGACTTGAAAGGCTCAATAACACAAGTACGTTTGAGTTTCTACACATTCCATACTTTGCCAGCTGAGTTTATTTCATATGATGACAGCTCTAGGCAAGGAATAAGGAATACTCAAATGGATGGGCAATTTGATTTTAAAGGTAAGCATAACATCAAGAACACGGCACATTTTATAGTTGTTTTTCTATTACTCAGGAAGTCCCAAACCTGGCTTAGGTAAGAGTGCAGGAGTCAGAGAAAGACGATCTAAGGGGCCACCCTTCCAGGCTCTGTGGCACAGCTGGGGAAAGAAACACGCACCCAGGGGTAGTCAAATTATTAACAAAATAAGTAAATGTAAAAAGCCAGATGAATAAGAAAGACATGATTAATTTAAAAAGTTTAGATTAGATGAGAGAGAGAGAGAGAGAGAGAGAGAGGACTTGGTAACAGTGGCAGGATCTGAACCTGACATGAAGCATCAGTTAGAGAGAACTCGTCCACCAGGTTGCATGAGAAGGAGAGTGAGAAGATTGTGGCACATGGACACCATCTCTGTAATTCACGGGCTAGTGAATAATGCAGTTTGTGTGGAGCCAAGAATTTCTCTGGATGAGGAAATGAACAGCTACAGAGCTGGGTGTAAAGGAGAAGCGGGGCTGGATTACAGAGGGCCAGAACAAATCTGCACTTTCTAACACAAGATTTGAGAGCACAGGGTTAGGACGGTCTCAGCGGTTTTTAGGAAGAGTGACTGCTGTGTGGGCGAGGCCGGCAGCTGGTGTCAGTTGGTAAGTCCATGGACCTCTGAGCTGGGTGGTGGTAGTAGGAGAATGGGGGTGAACCAGAATCAGAGAGCAGAGTGTGGGGGAAAGTTGGAGAGAAGAGTCTCTGATCATTCTTTCAGAGAGTGCCATGAGCTGACTGGCTTTGTTCAAATTGCCTTTCAGCGCCTTGGGAATTAAAATTTCAGTGCATTTTAGAGTTAGCTCTTCACTGGATCTCAGGGCTGGAAGTGCCATTAAGTGACTTTTGATCAGGTCCTCTGTGTTTGGTGACGTTTGTTCATCTCTGTTTTATAGACAGGGTAATTAGAAACCAGGAAGCCTGAGATGAAATCACATTTGCAGCAACACAGTCAGTGACGTAAGTGGTTGACCCAGAGCAAGAAGCCAGTTCTCTGGACTCTGGAAGCAAGGCCCGGCCACACTGCTGTTCCTCAGCAGAGGAGTTATTACGGATGTGAGCAACGGGCTTAGGTTGCTTTTTAAAATGTGTGAATATCAGTGTCTGGTATTTTATTACAATAACTTAAAACATAAAATTAAAATCACAGCCTGCACAGCTGCAGATTTCCCTTCCAAGGCAATCCTTTTGCATACCAACAGGATTTGAGGACAGTCTTCTATTTCAAACTTTTTTTTCTTAGCAACTTCATGAAAACTTAGCTTTGTGATAAGTGATAAATAGCTTTAAATTAAAAGTTCCTAACTCTTTCTGAGTGAACGCTTTCTGAAAAAGATCTAAGAAAAACAACTGAATCTGAAGAAATGAATATGGGAAAAAGCTTTTGAATTTCTCTAAGGGTTCTTTGCATTGCTTTCATATTGTTACAACCTCAATATCCTGTTTTAGCAGAGCTTATTTAACCAGTTACTTTTTAGTTTTATGGGGGAGCAATGAATGTAAAAGCCACATAAAAGCCACAGCCAAATGGATGACATCTGACCTTTAATCATCTCTTGGACTCTGCATTCATAACACACCACCTCCACTTACACATGCGCGCACATGCACACACACACACACACAGAGTATACCAACCACTCCCTAATTTACCAGACATCATGATGTTGCTTAAAAAATGAAATCACTTGCTTCCTTGACCCTGGATTGCCTTTGTTTCTCCTCACCTTTTTTACTTTTAAACATTTTTATTATTTTCTGATGTTTGGTCCTACAAATGACCACTTCCATTGTCATTAAAGATCAGAGCCTCAAAAACAGATGTTAAGAGGTGATTTATTAGACTGTCAAGAGATCAGATAAGAATCACAAATAATATAGTTCTTAATTTTCACCATTATATAAATAATTATCTAACCTAAACAGGTAATAACCTAAAATAGGTACATACATATATGTGTGTGTGTGTGGGTACATATGTTATATACATGGCAGAAAATATAGATAGAATTAGTAATTACTAAGGAAAGACTTTAAAAGAGGCTTGTTCACTAGTCATTTGGCAGTAATGAAGGTTGGAAAACGTGCCTAATGTTCCATGGTTACTGAAGGCAGACTAGATGAGATCAGGAACAGCTGTGGGGCCCCACACTGGTTACTTGCAGTCCCCTGCCCCAATACGACATCACTGTCAGAAAGAGAATGCTGTGCCTCCGACATACAAACACTGAACGATCACGTCATGATGGTCATGGCAAGCCTGGAAATAAAGGCCATCCTTGGAGCAATTTTCTTGACTGCTGCCCCTGTTTCAAAAACCTGCGATGACATGCAGCCTCACAACACCCCCTCTGCCTTGTTTTGTCTTCACAGAATGTGAAAGGCCAGGAGAAGTCTGGAAACCTGACCCTGCTCACTCAGTAAAAAGGCTTTTGTCTGTGAATCTGACCACAAGTGACTCATTAACAGCTGATTGAAAGATTTTGGTCAGGCACTCCCCCTTCCTCCTTTATAGAAATAAACAAGTCAAAGCAAAACTGAAGTATAAGGTGGGATCAATTCCCACTTCAAAATGGCGCTGTCCACCACATGTAAGGTGTTTATTTCCTGATGACAAAACTTTTGGTATAGTTTACATCCATAAGCGTCCCCTTCATTAAATCTACCATTTGTTTTGTCGAAAGTGAAGCTGGAAGAATTCCTTACAAAATGTTTTTAGGAATGTTTTAGGAACATTAAATGTTTTAATGTTTAATTATCCTGAATTTATAGTCCAATTAGGGTTTTTTTTTAAAACAAAACACCCTTAATTTTATGTTCCTAGCAGATAAATAAATAATACACTGTATTAATTTCAGGCAATGTTATATTTTAATGCATTACATTCAAGTACTTCAAAAAATTGATAATTTCATTAAAAATTTTTATCATTTTTTTCTTTAATTCTTACTAAAGTGCTAATAATTTTTTAAAAATCGCTTGCTATGTGGGCACCAGATTTCATTTCCACAGTAATCTTCCCTAAGAAACATTCCTAATGGTTGACCTTTTAATAAGTGACTCCAATTCGAGTTAGAAAAAAAATAGTGGCATTAAACTACATTCAACATTTATTAATATGCCATTTAAACTCAAGCAAAATGCCAGACGCAAAAATTCTGACAATGAAAATCCATCCCAATCAGCCTTTGTTTCTGCCCTTTTTAAGAATTGCGAGAAAACTGGGACATCATCTATGTTAAATATTCTGCAATTTACCCAGTAGCATCCATCTGTGAAGTTAAAGCATTTTTTCCCTTATCTACTTTTTATTTTAAAAGAAGGTCCGGGTCCTCTGCCTCTCTAGTTTGAGGTGTGTGAGGACCCACAGATAAGAAACATGTATCATCACTAGGGGCTTGGAATTCTAGAGACCGTCTCATTCCGAGGGAAGTGCAGTCGCAAATCACATTTGGTCATGGTGCTAGTCGTGGTGTGATATTTCAAATTAGCTTCAAGTCACTCTTGTGTAATCCTCACACATGTTTTGGTATTCATCCCCAACTGCTTTATAAATGCCTCTATGGCTTTAAGATTCTACTATTCTATTTCATTTGGTAAAAACAAGAGCCCTGTGAAAGCAGTATGGGCAAGAGATTCAGATGAAGGGCTGGATAACAGTCTCCTTTCAGATCTGCTCTAACAAATCAAGCATTTCCTGGAAACCTGCCCACAGATGGTGGGGACTATTTTTAGTAGCTCACCTCCCAGTAAATGAAGCTATTAGATATCCAGATATCCCTGCCCCTTTCAGATGCAGTAAAATAGAACATAAAAGGGTGTAATTGAATGATTACAGCTAAGAACTGTAATCAGGAGCCATAGGGTCTCTCTCTTTCTCCTGAGTGCTCTGGGACACAGCCCCAGGAGGGCCCTTTCCCTTCTCATTGCCTGGGGAAACCTGCAGGCAGAGTGAGGGCTCCATGCTGGTGTGTGGCACTTGCAGGGTAATGTTGAAAAAGGGCAGTATTGGGATTGCTTTCTGTTCTTACGTGTAGGATAGAAAGGAAGGGAAAGGGATTTATGTCTTTGGACAGCTATTATGTGCCAGGTCCTGTGTATTCATGTAATTATCCTAATAGCCACGTGAGGGAGGTGGGTAGATAGGTAGCATTATCCTATTTTACCACCAAGCATAGTTTTCCGCTATGCTCTAAATGTTTGTGTCCCCCTCTAAAATTCATATGTTGAAACATATTCCTGAATGTTATGGTATTAGGAGGTGGGGCCTTTGGGACGTGATTAGGTCATGAGGGCAGAGCTCCCATGATGGGATCAGTGCTTTTATAAAAAAGGCCCCAAGGAGCCTTTCCCCTTCCTTCATGTGAGAATGCAGCTAGAAAATGCCATCTACAAAGCAAAAAGTGGCCCCTCACTGTCTTAGCCTTCCCCCAGCCTCTGGAACCATGAGAAATACATTTCCATTGTTCGTACACCACTCAGGGTTTTGTTACAGCAGCATGTACTGACTAAGACATTCACTAAACGGCCAAGTTGAGCAGTTGCCCAAGGACACGAGGCTGAACCAGATTTAAGCAGGCTGTACTTTCTCCCTTATTCTTGCCCTTGGGGGGAGATGGAAAAGCCCCCTATAACTAGGCTGACTGAGTAATTTATTCTCTAAACCAGGACATGTCTTAAGAGAGAAATGGAGGTGCTGTTAATAAAAACTCTGGAACAACAAGCCTAACCCATACGGGTCTTGGGCAAATCAGGCTGTATTATCTGACTCATATCTACCTGTATCTACCTTGCTCACATCAGCAGGGCCAAGACTGAAAATGAGTTCCCTGATGAAAGTTTCCTGCCTGCCACTCAGAGCAGGGATGGCCTATACCAGAGTCCTGCGCATGTCCCTCTAAGATGTACTGACAGCTTACCATCCACCAGGCACTGTGACAAGTGCTTTACCTATGTACATGCTCTCATTTACTTTTCTCCAAATATCTATAAGGTAGGTACATTTATTTTCCCCACTTTTTGGATAAGGAAACTCAGGCACAAAGAAATCTACCTACTCAAGAACAGACACAGCTGGTTAGTGGCTCAGCTATATTCAGATCAAGGACTTCTGTCCCCTGAGTCTGCCCTTTTCATTGTGCACAGTGCCACATGCTTTGCATTGAACCAGTAGGGCCACAGCATGGTGCAACAGAGTTCTTGGCTTCACAAAGCTTTTAGATTACTGGAGACAAAGGTTTTGAGGTTTTTTCCCCAGTTTTTGGCCAGGGCTGGGTTTGAATTCACCACCTCCGGCATATAGGGCTGGCGCCCTACTCCTTTGAGCCACAGGCACTGCCCAAGAGACAAAGGTTTTTTATATTACCATGTCTTAACTAACAGCTACACGTTTATCAGAAGCCATCGTGTGTATATTTGCAAATATCAAATGCCAAATGAGTGACACAGATCACCGTCATATCATGAAGCTTTGTGGCACATACTTGTGGACTATATTCATAACTATCTTCTTAAATTCCCATCTCCTTCTCATTTTTTCCAGTGCTGTGGAAAGCTTTGCAAGGACTGCCTTGCAGCTTCTTTAAGCCCAAGCACCCTGCTCATTGTAGACACAGATGACAACTTCGTGATCGAAGCTGTCAATCCAGGCACAGTGCATTCATAGCTTGGGAGGCTGCTATAAGTTTCATTGCAGGCCTGGCGCTGAATATGAAATGGTAACATTTAAAAGAAGCCTATACTTTAATGTACCAAGAGATGACAGCACAGAAGGGAATCAGCAATTACACCAGGGCAAGAGGTAGTTAGTGCTAAGGAAAAATGGATATCCACTTTTACTTTTTTCTCATAAATTGCATGTATTTAAAGTGTACACATGATGTTTTGCTAACCGTGGTGAAATAATTGCTACAGACAAGCAAATTACCATCTTCAGCTCCAGAGCGCATGTGTATGCGCACACATGTGGTAAGAGCACCTGTGATCTGTTCTCTCAGCATCTGTTCGGCATACGGAACAGTGTCCTCGGAACACAGTACAGTATTAACCACAGTCCTCATGCTGCAGGTTTGACCCACAGACTTACTCATCCTACATCACTGCAACTTAGCACCCTTGCACCAGCGTCTCTCCACTTCCTCCACCTCCTTACCCCTGGGAACCATTGTTTTCCTCTCTGCTTCTATGTTTTGGACTTATACCAACACTCGCATGTAGGCTGTGCATGTGAATGAGATCATGCACTTCTTAACAATTCTTGAGAGCATCAGTATTAATGGAATCTATATCAATTAACACAGACACACAGACTGACTATGCACAACACCAAAATACGCTAATATCTCAGAGTCTTGGAAGAGCCAAGGTTGATTTCTTGGTCATAGTACGTGCCATTTGTGCGTTGGTGGGGGGCTTTGATCTGCACCATTGTGGGCCTCAGCCCATTTATTAGTGGCTGTTGTAAATCACATGCCAAGCCTTATTTTAAAGGAAAGTATAGCTCTCTCCCAAGGAAGGACAGCAGAGACTGATAACTAGTCATACAGTCTATCACAGAGCCTGTGCTAAGGAACCCATTTTATGCTTCTGAGAAAAGGACACATTTGAATTAACTAATTCCCAAAGATAAAGCACAATTACAATATGGCCCTTATTAGCTCTCTATTCCTGCCTTACAAATTGCCACAAG